ATTTAAATACATAAAACCACTAGAATGAGTAATATGAAAAATAAATCTTTATCCTTTCAGATTAAATAAACCCACTCATGAAAAATATCTTACATGAATACCTAAATGTATCTAGAGATGTTATTATTATTTTTTTTTGGAGGGGGTGTCATTATATAACAGTGGGTATTAAATCTTTTAAAGTGGGTGATTTCTCTCTCTTTGTGGGAAGGCTGATCCTCAGAAGTCTGGAAATCCATCCCTCATTCCAGAGTGTTACAGGGGCTTTGGAAAAAGAGAGGTGTTTTATGAAGACTGTCTTCTGTACTAACTAGCTTTATGTTCCTACATAATCTGCTTTACCTCTCTGAACTTCAGATTTTTCAGCTGTGGCATGGTAGTAATATTACTTATCTTTCAGGATGATCATATAGGTTAGAGAAAATGTCAAACGACCAACCCTGACTGGGACCACCACTGGTCCTGTCATATGTCTGTCCCTGCATATCAGTATCCCATGTGTGGGACCTAAATCACAAGTCTGTTCTCAAACTCAAAGCAAAAGAGATTAGGACATAGTGTTTTTGTTTATTTGGTTTTTGATTTCTGTGTTGAGAAGGTGGGATTCACAATGTGAAGAATTATCAAAAGATTTTGGCAGCTACAAGTGACAGATGTCCACTGTAATGTGTTAGTTATGTTAGAGGCATCTTATTCCTATCTCACCAAACTGTCAGGGCAGAAGGCAATCCTTGTAATCAAAGTAATAGCCACTGTCATCAAGATTTCCAGGGTCTGTTTTCATCATGTTGCTGCCCAGGTTACCAAGAGACAAGCTGAAAATATAACTGTGTTTTACAGGTTTTATGATTTAGAAAGGTCTTTTTATACTATTGAAGTTTTTATTTTCTCACAAACCTTGGAAGGTGGTCATTATTATTCTCATTTACAAATAAGAAAATTGATAATTAAGGAAAGTGTGTTTTACCAAAGGTCATTCAGCTAGTAATTGTTAAATCTAAGGGTGCAATGAAGGTTTTATACAAATGGTTATTTCTAGTGAAATTCATAAATGTTTAAGAAAACAGGCTTTTGGGTCTGACACATATGGGATCATATCCTAGCCCTGCTATTTATTGGTTTGCCACTTAACCTCCTTGAGCTTAAGCTTTCTCATCTGTAATGCAAGAAGGATGGTAGTATCTACCTTGTAAGGTTATTGTGATGATTAACCAGAGCACCTCGTACAGTGTCACTGTGGGCAGTCAATGAATCATGTGTGACATCATTTCTGTCATAGGAATAATCATCATTTGTATTATACCACACCACTGCAAGAGAAGTGTGCATGCTTATCTCTCACATCCTCATGAATATGTGCTCTAAACAACCCCAGACAGAGGAAAAAAGGCTTAAAAAAAAAAAAAAATAGAATGCCTAGGTAGACAGGGCTTTAGCTCTGTTTATTGACTTTCAAATAATTGTCATTTTAGAGTGATAAGCAGTTTTCTTTCTCTAGGAGAGAAAATTTATTCACTCTTGGGCAAACTCACTTGGTTCTGAGAAGGACTATCAAGTGACTCCTTTAAGGTGTTTAGATATCAGGCAAAACTCCACTCTACTCTTGTGTCTTTTTATACATTTACTAGGTGCCCAAGAAGTCTTTAAATTTCTGGTGAGCTGGGGCAAAGCCTACCTGGGTCAGAGCTCTAGAAAAGTTGGCAGGAGCTCTAAGAGGAAATCACCCTACCAGAGGGAAGAGTATGAATGAGCGACCCCCAGATAGCACCAAGGCCAAGAGTGTTGCCAGGTGAACTTCTGGGTACAGTCCTTGGCTGATACCAGAAACTGCTCCAGGATGTGGTCCATGTTGGTGAAAAAAAAATGGGTGAATTCAAAGAATTAGGCATATAACAGTTGGAACTCCAGGCTGGGTTTGGGTGGGGACATCTATGGTTGAACCTGACAGCGGGATTCAAGAAGCCACTACAGGGGATGGTACTGGGCTGTCAGCTTTGGGAACTCTTTCAGTTCAGGTGATAACACAGTATCCCAGTAACCACAGCAACAGGGGAAGCAGATGGGTGTTACTTCCAATTCCCAGGTTTTCCAGTGCCCGTTCAATGAACAGTAGTGCCTTCCTGATTTGGTGATAGTGTCGACACTGTCAGTGAACAAGGCATTTCTTTGGCTTGCCTGGACCGTCACCTTCACCCTTAAAGCAGGACAATCCAGACTGAATCTGAGGACTGGGTGAGTGTACTTGGGGATTCTGATCGTAACAAGGAGGGAGCTTCTTCATGTGAGGGCGAAAAGTTTAGATTAATGCTAATTTAGATATGTGGGCATTCCGTAGCATTGTAATTTGTATACAAAGGAAAAAATGTTATGTTGCAAGTGCAGTCTGGTCAAGTCCAGGTTATGCACAGAAGTAACTATTATGAACGTGCTTTGGAAACAATCAAGTGCTATTGAAATGGAAGGTGGTAGTTTATCAAAAACCAAGGAAAGGTCAAAGACTAACACAAAATGGAGAAAGTGGCGATTTTCAGCACGCACATGCTAAGTGCCTCTTGGAATTCAGAACATGTCTAAAATGTCTCTTTAAGGCTCAGCTGCTAAAAGGAAGGCTCACAAGAGGGAAGGTCTCCCACGGCCCACCTCTCTTCACTCCCAGGGGAACCCACAGTGGTCCAGGAGAAAGAGCAGGGACTCCGTAGTCAATTGGATATGGGTTTCATCTAACCTTCCTGAGCTTCACTTAACTTTCTGAATTCCATCTGCAAAATGAGAATAAATATACCTGCGTTATGAGGCCGTTATGGCCCTGGCGTGACTTAACATAGGAAGAGAGTCAAGCATGATATCTAGAGCATGTTCGTTTCTTTCATCCCGTTCTCCTTTTCTGTGCTCAGTGGGCATCAGGGAAAAGAGTGGGGCCAGAGGCCAATGAGCGCTTTCTTTATGCCACCAGGAGGTCTCCAAAAGACTTACCTGTTGATGATTTGCTTGTTTTCTCCAACTCCTAAAAAAACGTCTACTCCTTTGGGAGCTTTATAATTTGAAAATAGCTAGGAATTTTGATGATTTGGACTAATGTACTGGTGTGTTACAGGACTGGGCTGATGAAGTCATGGATGCCATTTCCACACTGGCAGTTTGCTTCTCATAAGACAAAAAATTTGCTTCGGGCTATTGTCTGTCTTTTTCATTCTGGGTGGCTGTGGGCCTAGAGTCAGTTGGTGAGGGCCCTGCAGTGAACCTACTGCAGGCCATGAAATTGCATTCACCTTGAAGGGGAAGCCTGGGGAGAGATGAGGCTGCGTAGAGAGGCCAGGTATGGGACAGCTTGCCATTACCAAAGGATGAACTAAACCATGACAGGCCCTTCAAATCTGTCACTAAGTGCCCAATCCAGGAGGAAGTTTTTATCTGTTTCATTTTACAGAAGAAAAAGCTGAAGCTCAGAGTAGTTAAATGACCTGTTGAAGAAAGCCTAGAGTAGAAATAGATATAATTCCATGGCTTCGGATTCAGAGGGTTTATCCACAAGGCAAGAGCCAAGGCCACGCCTTCCTCTTTTCCATTAAGGCTGACTCTTTCAGTGCTAAATTTGTCTCGGTTCTTTAGTCTTGCACTGAAATTAATAAAGGTCTCTTTTCCTAATTGCACAATCAAAATAAATTATGTCCACAAATTAGAAAGCAAGGAAATTGCATTTGCATTTTGGGTGCCCTGATAATGTCCTGCAGTAAATTGTTTTCATATAAATTGCATGCTTAATTAATCGTTTTCAAAAATGCCCATGTATTTCTCCGCAAATACATCTCTGCCTGCAACTCACTCATAAAATACTAAGACAAATTAAATTGCCGAGCCCCATATAAAAGTGCCGCCCTTGGTGTATCCCGGCTACACTCAGTCATGCTGCCCTCTTTTCAGCAAGTGCAATAAACCTGGTGAGCCTCTTACTTTCTTAGCTGTCCCTGGGTATCTGATTCAACAGATTTGAGGTCTCAGATTATAGTCAGACGAGGTAATAAAGTTAATGTGTGTGCCACAACTGGTTGCCTCGAAAATCTAGCTGGCTCAGGTGACTCCTGAGACCTCTCTCAGACTGAAAAGCGCTTGAGGCAGTGAGCTTTGGAAAGGCTAGCCACACTAAAATATGTAATAAAAATAAATAAATAAAATACCCGCAAACATCTAAAATTAAAAAAAAAAAATTCCCCACACACACCAAAAATGCATGCATTGTTTGGATGGAAATGTCAAAAAGTAAAAAAAAAAAAATTGCTTTCCATAAATCCTAACACCTAGATATACTCACAGATAATCGTGTTTTCTTTGACCAGAAAATTAATTGTTAGAAAAATTAAAATAATCATTGGACGATTTCGATGATTTGTTTAGAGAATTATTTTTAGGGGTGAGTTTGAATTTGCACAATTTTCCTTAGTTAGAGAATTTTCCTCTATTTTGAGCTCCTGCGTACAGTATGCCTCAGCAGGCAAAAGTTAATGCTTAGAAACGACCCTGATGTGGCCTGCCTGCTGCAAATCCTTCTGTTCTGGTTTCTAGGAAGGAATTGTGCTAAAAGAAAGTGAAGAAAATGTTTTGCTAGATGTTAGAATTTATTTGCCAGAAAGAATTCATTGCCTGAAAGTTTTGTTTTTAAAAAATATTTCAACGATTGTTTTTGATACAGAAACCCTCCCTCTGACTTCCCTTTCAACACCAGGGAAAGCCACCAGGTGAATGTTGGCTCAGCTAGTATTATCTGAGGTGAGAGGGGACCCAGCAGAGCCATGCTCATCAGCCAGCACAGCTTGTCTTTAGCTAATAATTCTTGCAGCTGGAACTGAAGGGCTTGCCTTTTGAAAGCAAAGAAAACACAAGTCAGAAGATGCTGAGATGGTCCAATTTGTGGGGTGTCTGAACCGAGGAGCCTATTTATTCCTGCAGAGACCTGGGTGGACTTCCTGTTACGCTAAATTGTAATGGAAGAGTCAAAATGAGGGTTGAAATTTACTGAAGTGTTATTTCTAGTGTTAGCCAGAAACAAAAATCAAAACAAAACCGAACACTCTCCACTGATGCATTTTTGCAGATGTTATGACTTGGCCTTGCTTCTGGCTCCAGTGCTAGCTAATTCAGGGTGTATCATGGGAAATTCAGCTTTCACAGGGGTCCAGCTCCTTTCTCAAAAGGCAGGATCTGAGCTGTTGTTTGCAGTTAAGAAGCTGCTATCTCCCCACACCATGCTGTGATTATACTGAGAACTTCCTGGCTGACTCAAGCAGCAATGGAGGTAGAGATCCTCTCAGACTCTACAAAATCCTGAAAAAAAAAAAAAAAGTTGCTTTCAAGCAAATTCTTTGGATCCTACAAATGTATTAAAGTGAGGGAAAAAGTGACCAGAGGAAAATTCTGAGACCAAATTACACATAACTCTCACATCTTTTCATTCTTGTGTAACAGAAAAATGAAAACAAAATGAAAAACCAAAACATTAACTACTACTTCAATAAATTCTTCTACTAGAAAATGTTAGTTTAAAGAGTATAAATAGTTATTCATTTGAGATATATGCCACATATACATATCGAATGGAATGTTGATTCTTGATAAGTTTATGAAACCAGCAAAATTTGTATTCAATGTTTTTCTAAACTACTTTTTTTTGTGTGGTTACTTCTTGTCTTTCCAAGGCTTGTTAAGGCCCATATCCCCCAATTCTTTCTCCAACCATCATTTCCCATTGAGATTTGCTTTTGGTTGATGACAGTGAGTAACTTGCAGATAAAATAAGTGTTGAACGCAAATGTGCTCTTTTGTGGAAACAAATATCTGTGAGTATGTCTACAAATACCCTGTGTAAAATATCCTGCACAGAACCACACCAATGCTAATATAAATCCAGTGATTTCCAACCTGGTAATGTGGGTCCTTTTTATATCCTGTACCCTCAAGCCTTGTAGAGGTAAAATAATGAAATTGTTTTTAAGGAGATATGTGACTATCTTCCCACCCTCCCTTTCTTAGGGTGCCCCCTTGAAAAACATAATAGACTCAATAAGAGGTCCAACCTTTCAATTTTACAATGTAAGTTTGCAGGCCTTTTGACTCTTGGAACTGTAAATACATACCTCATAAATTATCCCTTCTGAGATGTACGGGAGACAGTTACAAGGTACATCCATTTATCTCTCAAGAAGAGAAGAGAAATTGTCATTGTTCTTTCTTCCACTTCACTGTATAAATTTGTGTGAAATTCTATCCAGACTTCAAGTTACTTTGGTGCTGTCTTACATTTGTACTTTAATAATAATGCCTACTCTTTCTTCTTTATTGATGCGGAGGAGACTTTTGTTGGAAGAATTGCTTTATTTCCTCAAAAGCCTATAGTATCTTTCTAAGTACAGCTATCCTATGGGCTTTTGAGTACCTTTTTAGAAAAGAGAAGTTTGAATGTGGAATGAATAACATTACATGCATTCAGATGATGATACAGTTGGAAACACAACCTTGTGGTTACCAGTGACCACTGGCGGGTTCTTACATTTTGGAAGGAGTGAATATTCCTAGGACCTGTATAGGGTCTAAAGAGAACCAATATCTTAGAACACTGAGAGTCAGTTATTTTTGGTGCACAGTAGTCACTTAGTAAGCATTTGTTAAATGAATGACTATCTAATGAGTTTGAGTAAGTTTGCTAGAAGTCTATCTTTTTAAGGCACTGAGGAACCTCTTGGGAAGAGGGCACTGGTATGGTGAACGTGGCTTTGTTATAATCCAGCATTGGTTGTCAGAGAAAAGGGGCTTTCTGGTTACAGTCTGAAGGCTGCCACTCAAAGCTATCTCTGGCCCAATCTCAGGAATTCATTTCTGATTCTGTGGAGGTAAAGGAATGTGGGTAAAATATGACAAAGTCATTCCACTTGAAACACCAGGAGGAAGAAGAAGGCAGAAGCAATATTGCTTCTAGTTCCTCTGAGCAGGTCTTGCATGGCAGAGGAGTTAGAGCCATCTGTTCCCCCAGGTCTGGTACTTTGAGGGCCCCGATGTGGCAGTTGAGGCAATAGAGGTGGTAAGAGTGGCCTGATTTGTGAGTACATGTAAGACTTTCCTGGAACTCTCAAAAGCAGATGAGATAATAAGGAATTATTTCATGGAAGACCATGGTCCTGTAGTAACAAGTAGAATCAGGAGTCCATGACATTCGAATTGTCATCATCACCATAACTGTTATAATATCCTTGGATGGATAAGGCCTAGGTAATTTGTGTTTTAAAAATAAATATTGTACCTCTTCCATTACTCTATTAGACAGAAATCTGAAGCACTTGAACTCAGATTTCCTCACATTTGTTTAGACCAGTCATAACAGGGTAAAAATTTAGGTTTTCTTAATTTCAAACCAGTTCTGAGCACAATAGTATAGTCTACCTGGTGTCAATGACAAATAATATTCTGTATATCCTTTGTCTTAGATTTTAAAATTTTACAACTGTTTAACAGGACAAAAAAAATATGATATCACCACAATTTTCTAACTACTGCTTCTAAACCAAGATTTCAAGGCAGCTAGTTCATAGCCTTTACCTCTATTTCTTCCACTCCTATTTCCCGCTCTCATCCCTTGTTAAAATCTTTAACTCCTCCACCAGACACCATAAGAAACTAAGCTCCACACATCTGTTTTCTGTCATCTCAGCTGACAGTATATTTTCAGAACTCTGGAATTTCAGTCGTCGCTTAATCTTATATCCGGGAGCAGAATCTATGAAGCCTGGGCAGGAAGCAAAGTCTGTAAACTCTCTGGAATCCTGTTCTAAATTTTGCCTTTCGGAGGGGTGGTGGGGGCAGCTGTCAAGTTTCAACCTGTCAGACTATGTGCCAGGCTCCCTGGGACTTCCAGCAATAATGGAACAATGATTTCTCAGGCCTCTGAAGGTAGTTGAGAGTGGGGAGGTGGGTAAAACTTACAAAGAAGGTGCTTGATTTTGCATGAGTCCCAGTTTTGGAACAGTGTGTAGAAAATCAGAACCAGACAATAGCAGAAATGCAGGAAGCATGGCACAAGTATACAATTAATTGCAGAATTTTTAGTTGCTCTGTTACGTAAGTCAGCATTCTGAGGCCCATAAGTTATTGATCAGAGAATATGGAAGAGAAGGCAAATTGTTATCAGGCCGGCATATAGCTCTTCAGACACATAATCAATTTAAATAAGATTTTATGCACAATACACAGTGCTGCTCTTCATTCTCTAGGAGGGTGTTTTTTATTGGAAGGGAAAGTGGGGTGTAGGGCAAAAAGTACAGGCTTTAGCACCAGGAGATCCATGAGTATACCAATTCATGGGCAAAATCTTAATCTCTCATGGTCTCTGATTTTTGATCCACACAATGGGATTGAAAATCATCATATTATATATCTCCCAGGATTGCCATGAAGATCAAATAAATTATCACATGAAAGAGACATATGGCAGCAAAATAGCTGACCCACCAGACCTGATCAGGTTCTACCCAGCTCCCCATTTTCAACTACCTTCAGAAGCCTGAGAAATCATTTTTTCATTTTTACTGTAAGTCCCAGGGAACCTGGCACACGACAGATTGAAACTTGACAGTTGCCTTCCACCGCTCTGAAAAGCAAAATTTAGAACAGGATTCCAGAGAGTTCACAGACTTTTCTTCCTGCTCTATCTAGCCTCATAGATTTTACTCCTGGATATGTGATTATACAATAGCAAAAATAGTTAAGTGCTGCTCTGAAGTTGGTTCTGGGATATGTCACACTCATGGATAGGGCCTAAAGAGTTCTTTGATGCCATCTTGTCTCTTCTTTTCTCAAGTGGAGCTTCTACTCATTTGTGACATCAGCTGGTTCTTGAAGAACCTGGTATTGCTGGTGACTTTTCTTTCAGATCTTTGACCAAATAAAGAACAATTTTGTGGCATGTGTCAAGTAGTCATTGAATGAATTATCCATGAAGTTGCTTACTGTCCAGGTCACTCTACTCCTCAGAGCCTGCTTCTTTATCTGTAAAAAGGGCACTATAAGGACCATATTGTAGGCTTACTGTGAGCATTAAGTGAGGAGCCAGCTGGCATATAGTCATATTCAATAACTGTGAGTTTCAATTTGAATACAATAAGTCTCCACTTTCTTCTCAACATTAAATTTTTGTTTTCCATGATGCAGGTTATGCTTTATTTTCATTAGTTAATAAGTGTTGTGTAACTCCTTATGTCTGTAGAGCTAGATTATAGGTTAGTTGTGATTCATGTGGTGTGCTTAGATTTTCTGCTACAGTGATCTCTCCACACTCTCACATTATTTCACATCTTTTGTTCTTTTTACCCTTATTTTAATGGTCCTATTGTATGTGTCAAATCGGCTTGTTTTTCCCTTAGAAGCCAATACAAACCTTTATGGAACTAGGGACATGCAAATACTAAATTAAAAAAAAAGAAGGAAAGAAAGAAGAAAGGAAGGACGGAGGGAAGAAAGGATGGGAAGATAGATTGGTTTGCTAAGGTCCTGAGGTCTTTCTCCATGAAACGCTTGTTCAGTGAATGTTTAAACTTGAAATCAGCTGTTTAGCCCCTTGAACACTGACTGTGAATCCAGGTGTGGCTGGTTCCCTGGACGGTTTGCCGGAAGGACGGCCTTCATGTACCATCCGCAGGGTTTCCCCATTCCTCCTGCCTAGGGCTTTTTTTTTTTTTTTTCAGCCAGGTTCTGCTCCATCAGCTATTTTGCCTGTCCAGCCTCACACCTCTGAGCTAAGCTTAGCAATATCCCACGCCCTGTCCCCACACGGTTTATTGAGGGACAGGTGGATTGATAGGTATAAAATTAGATTTGAAAAAAGCCTTAAGTACAGATTAACACGTGAGTTCACATGTTCCACGAATGAAGTAAATGATCCTTCTTCAGTCAAGGGGTGTCTCTTATTTTGTTCTTAAAGTAAGATGTCTGTCTTTCAGAGGGACAGTATAACTGTTTGGCTTTATCGTAAGCCTCTGAACTCTGAGAGAGCTTTCTCAAACTCAAGATAAGGTGAGTGTGAAAGGAAACATTAACGCCTTTTTCTTTATATGGATACATAATTTATTCTAAAGTTTGTAAATTTTGTAATTATTTTTTTTTTCAGTGTAAATAGTGAGTGGATGGACCTTGGTTAGGAAGAGGGAAACAGGGTGGCTACCAGTGTCAGACCTCTTAATGACGGAAAATGAATTTTGGGGAAAGCGTATCGATACACAAATGCTGAGTCTAATATGGAAACTGGAGCAAGTTGCCAGAATGCCCTGGGTTGTATACTGTTGGAACAGAGCAGTCAAGCCCTGAGGGGCCTCCTAAAGGAAGAGTCAGAAATAGAAGCAGACATGCTTGCTGTCGGAAGACATGGAGTTCTCCGGGGAATGCTGGAAGCTGCAGGGTGGCCTACTTTTCCCATTCTGTTTCAGGTCTTCTGATAGGCTCCTGGAATTCTTGTTACCATTTGATTGGAAATGAGCAGTGGTGGGTGGGGGAATGAGTTCATGTGTGTGCATGTGAGTGTGCAGTGTGTGTGTGTGTGTGTGTGTGTGTGAGAGAGAGAGAGAGAGAGAGAAAGAGAGAGAGAGAGAGAGAGAGAGAGAAATTTTTGTGTTCTATACTTCCTTAATGGTTGTTACATTTCACACTCTTCATTTTTTCTTTAGGATACTACTATGTGCTTTGTAGGAAACCCATAGCTAGAGAAGGACTCTCTTTGTCAGTCTCCCTATGAAAGTATAACTACCAGAAAATAAAGACTTTAAAGTGGAAGTACCACTTAGGAAGCACATAGTATTCTAAAAGCAAAATGAAGGATGTGAGACATAACAGCCATTAGGGAAGTATAGAACACAAATCTCTCTTATACACACATGCACAACACCCCCCCACACACCCCTTACCCACTTACAATAAAATGGCAAGTGGATTTAAAACAAGAATTCCAGGATCCTTATTAAAAGATCTGAAACGAAATGGAAAAAAAGCATTCTATTATATAATTATATGATATATAAAAATATATGTATATATATTTTGTATTACATATGTATATACCCACATATATCTATAGTAGTTACTGTTGTTAAAGTTATGTCTATTTATATGTATTGCATCATTGTGAAATGAAAAATGGTGCCTGCACAGTGGCCTGAGCTTGAACAAGGCAGGCCCTTGGGAGATCCTCCACGATTAGCTGCACCAGCAGTCATATTGTGCTCTTAATCAAGGTGGAGTCACCACCTGTTCCTTACACATTCCCACATACACGTGCACACACATGCCCTTACCCACACATTTCCACCTACTCATTCATGCCAGAAACTCAACCTTAAGACACAAAACCCAAGGGGGCTCTGTATTGGCTTCTGTTTGCCTTGTGTGAATGTGAGATAAGAAGCTTTCCTGAGAGCAGTATCTAACGGTGAGGTGGCATTGAGCGTTTGAGTAGTAATAACGGCTTCCATTTAAATGGCATTTATAATACACAGATTATGTTCATATTTCTTTCTTATCCTCACCTGCTAAGATTGGGTCTTTTTGGAAGCTCTTTGCATCTTTCACTGGATTCACAGAAGCCCTACAGGAATTGCTGTGATTCCCGAAGGTCTTCAGTCCTGGAGACCTGCTGCTGAAAAACCCAAGTGCTTGCCCACCTGCTGAGTGTTTCTTCTCTGTAGAACAGACTACTAAGCAGCCTTCACAGGTGACCATCTCCACTAAAGCCATGGTGAAATCTCCCTCACCTGCCAACCCAGACTCCTGTGCCCTTAGAATACAGACTCAGAGAAGGCAGACCTTTTAGGAAGTGGTGAGGGGTTACTTTCTAAGTTCTTTTCAGGCTTATTAGAGAAGCCAATACAAGACAAAAATTATCTTAATAGTTTTTTCTGCCACAGCTCTGAAAATGTAGATATAATCTTTTATGTGAATTCCCTCAGGTTAAAGCATAACGTCAGAGGATAACAACTAAAGGCTATAGCTTTACAAGAGTTGACATACAAGAAGCAAAAGTGTCCAAGTCACCTGCATTATCAAAGGTGTGGGCCCAGACAACTCTGCATGCGCATGCACACACGCACACAAACACACACACACAGTACCCAAGAAAGAGCGTTGACCAGGTTTCTCAAGATCGAGACCTGAATTTCCAAATATCCTTTGGATATCATCATATGGATGAAGTGAGAAACCTCATGTTCATCTCAAATTGAACTCATTTGCCTCTAGAACTTGCTCGCCTTTGCTGCTTTATCCCAGTGAATGGCATCACTATCTACGCAGGCAACCAATATAAAAACTACAGAATCATCTCTGCCATTTTCCTTTTCTTCCAAATCTTCAAAACCCAACTTAAATTCCATTTCTTTCACAAAGTTTTCCACTAGTACATCAAGACTTTTTATATCTCTGTTAAATCTGTTAACAAGTCTGCTATGTGGGTTTCAATTTTTCTCTAATTACTGTCTTCCTTCCCTTGAGCTACTTCGGTACAGTCTTAATGTTCTCTCCACCTTTGTATTCTTCTGCTCCCGAGTGCCTAATACAGTATCTTCTATATAGTGTGGACTCACCGAATGCTTGGAGAGACTGAAGAATTTAAACCTGTCGTATCCTCATCCCCATTCCCTCTATGATCCTTACATGTTGGTGCCATTTCTTCATCCAATGGGTCATGGATTTTTTCTGATGTTCCAGTAGAAGTTGTTATATATATATATAAATCATTTAAACTTGTTCTCGTTGTTATCTTGGCAACACTCTCAATGTCTTCTTTGATAATCCAACTTCTCAAAGTGGAACTGCTTTCCACAGAGTTTAGGTTACAGGTTCCCCCAGGACACCTAGCGATTCATGTTTACAGTGTTCCCTGTTGCGCAGGTCTCTCACTTCCATCCGAGTGGCCGTGAAGCCTGCAGCAAAGGCAGAAGAGAGGCAGGAAATGCATGACTTGTCAGCTGTAGCAATGGTACATCGATTCCCCGAGATGTCTCACGGGGCTTTCTAGTGTTGCCTTTTAGGAGATGGCTTCTGCTCTGTGCTTCCCCTTCCCCCAACTGATTGCCCTTTTGTAAACACAGAGTTTAAAGAATCAGATGGTAGATTCTTAAAGGTATTTAAACAAGCTGGCCTCCTGGATTCTCAAGATCCTGTTAAATAAGCCACTTTTGATCTCGGCTCAGCTGGGAAATCTTTTCTTTTGTACAAACTTGGGAAAAATCAATATAAATGGCTGTGAGATAGTGAAACAAATCCCTGCTCACCCCTACTGTTTTCTTACATGCCATCTGATTGCTCCTGAAATAAAAATGGACTTTGGTTTCATGGACTATTTTACAACAGTAGATACAATGGGAATAATTACCTTTTTTCTTAGAGACTATTAAATGATAATTTCTGAGTTATTTAAATAATGAAGGCCAAAGCTTAGTTTCTGGAAGATCTAAAGATTGTGTGATTTGGGTAAAAGGATAGCCTGATGGGTATGTATGGTGACATTTTTCTGTCCTTCCTGGTATGTGAGGGATGTGGGTGAGAGTCATGGGCTCCTCACCGAGCTCATTGATAATATCTCTTTTCGCAGCATGTTTATACAGAAACTATTTGGCCATTAAGCAAATACAGTATTTAATAGGCCCAGAGTGATCTACTTACATGGAAGCCTATAACAATCGTAGGGAGACCTTGACAGAATGTTAAGAAATTAATACGTGACTTGGACAAGCAATGATCCTTGAAGAAAACAATAGTTTGTGGAAGATAAGACAAACACCACCTGCCACAGTGACTCCAGGGGAAGAGCCAGGCTATGGGATCCTCTGGAGCAGAAGCAGTTTTCCAGCATCTTGAACAGCCAGCTGAGGTGGAACGCTAGGAGAATGAGTCAGCTATTTGGTTGTTCCCTGGGTAGTCATCTCCCACATCACTTGGAATGACTTTGTGTAAGTTGCAGCAGCTGGTGTTTTCATGCCACCAAGCACACTCCCAGTTTCTGTGGCACCGTATAGATCTATGCGGAACCTCAGAGGACCAGTGACAGTCACATTTGTCATTTATAGTGTACCTACTCTGTGCCAGGCCTAGCACACATGTGCTTTATATACATCATGTCATTTAACCCTACTGGGATGTATACATATTTTGATCTCCATTTAGATGAGAAAATAGTAGCCCACAGAGGATAAATAACTCGTCCAAGGTCTCACTGTTTTTAAATTGTGGGCATAAGACTCAAACACTGATTCTTTTTTAGTCCAAAGTCACTGAATTAGAATACTCACTATACTTTGATCAGAGGAAGTCAGAGAGTTGCTGGATAAGTAACTTCATAAAAGTTACTTATCGCATGTGATAATGACATCAAAGAGCACCATGTTTGGTGATCCCCAGGAATGGTAGCCTTTATGAGGTGCCATGGATTTCCTCGACTTTCACCACTACCACAGTGTCCACAGAATAAGCAGGTACCTGAGAGAGCATTTGTTGATTTGAGATGTTTGACTTCTAAACCTACTCCCATATGACACACCTCTCACATGAAACAGTGAAAATTTATTATATATCATATCAATGAATTCTAAGTCTGGAAATAATTCCGGAGGGGTGGGCAAAAATTAACATACAAAAATCCCGAGGTATGATACCCTTCTGATAATTTGTTCAGATCCTGGGCTTTGTTTTGCTGATGGGGACAATGAGAGATGGGAAGAGAAACTAAACTGGTTTTCCAAATAAAGCTTAAAAAAGGAGTTTGGAGAGGGACAGGGAGAGGCAGTCTAGAGCTTGGTGGGGACAGAGAGAGCAGATTTGTAGCAGCTTTGATGATGAATAGAGTGTGGAGCAGTGAGAGAAGAGAACCCTTTAGATGTTAGTTTTGTCATAATTGTCTAAGCATTTTCAGAATTGATTTTTGTTTCTTTTGGATGTGGCACTTCTAGGATTTGCCCATGAGGTGTCGAAGATTGTTTGGATTACAAAAAATGCTACCCTCTGATATTCAGAGCACTTTATAGTTTAGAAAGCTTTATCTCATCACTACAATGTTATTATGAAGGAGGAGAGATATAATCAAGCTCATTCCACAGGTGGATTCATGGAAGTTTCGAGATTTTTCTGCAGTCACCCAGCTTTAAAGAAGCCAAGCCAGCACCAGAGCCCAGATTCTTTGATACCTCTGTTGATGGGCTTCTCTGAAGGCGCCCATCAACAGACGTATCAAAGAATCTGGGCTCTGGTGCTGGCTTGGTGCTACTTTAAGACTATAAGAGCAAAAGATGCCATATTAGGTCTATCTAATGGTTCATTCCACCAAATATTTCATTTGAACAGGCTGGAGCCAGGGATGTTTTGTAAAGGAGTGTGGCAGCTGCCTCTGTAACATTAAAAGTTGGGAACGCATCCAAACCCCTCGAACCTCTCTTTGACAACCGGTGAGAGATTGGGCATCTGCAATTTTTCCAAACCCTTCTTGAACCTATTTACATTTCTTGGCTTGTTCACCTCTTGGGGAATAACAAGTTCCACATGTTTACCACCTGCTGTGTGAGGAAGTACTTCCTTTGGTTATTATTTTAAATGACTGCTTTCCAGGCTTAAGTGCTCCCGGACCCAAATCCCCTTTCCCAACCGGTTATGGTCCCCAGGATGCAATGTGTGTCTGGCTCACTGCCCCTGGCAGGCATGCTTTGCTGCTGCTGAGGTACGTCTGGTGGTTATAGCTACAGTATCCCAGTATGAGGAAGCGTGTGCCCATGGGATTGCTTTTGGGGTGCAGATGCTACCTTTGTGCTAGAATAAAAATTGGAATGTGGCTTCTCCCCACAATGCCCTGACAATTTGAAAAAGTGAGGCTAAGATTGCCATTATGAACTTTTGCCTTTGCTGTGACTACGTCCTTCTGAAATCCTTCACTGTTCTAAGGAATTCCACACTAGTCTAAATGAAATAACTACAAAATCACACTTGCATGAATGGGCTATTCCAGTTTGAATCCTTTCTAGCAACTGACCTTGCTAATGTGAACATGTTCATATGGTTAAGATTAATGAGTCAATTATTTTTATACAAGCTATTCCTCATGTAGGCTGTTTTCCTTGACTTGACTATGTTAATTAATAGAAAGCATTCAATCCTCCTTCTATTGCAGATTGTGGTTAATCAGTTGCAATTATCAATAAGGCTATGGTGAATGTCTATGCACTCAGGCATCTGTAATGAAAATAGGATATATTTGGCTATGAAGAGAAGTACTTAAACTTCCTCTTTGGTGAGCGCTTCCAGAAGGAAATAAGGCCATGGATCTTGGAAGGTACAGACTGCTATTATATAGTTGTGTTTTTAATTAAATAAATACTGAAACAAATGTGATTGAATATGAGATAATCCATTCATGTGGATATTATTTTGTGTCATGCCTTAAATTAATGCTTCCTAGGGCTTGGCCTGGCTCTTGCTAGTTGAGGAGTGGAATGTACAGTGTATCCTCCACAAAAACACAAAGGCTTGCATGGTCTCAGTCCTCCTGCTCCAGAGCTCTGAAATGACAACATTGCTTTAGGAAAATCCAAAATAAAACAATCTCAAGTTACAGAGGAATTTAAGTAACAATTGTTTACATTATCAATGGTTTTGTTGCTCTGCTGGAAGGTTGTAAAGACGTAAACTTACATAAAGCAATTTGCCTAATGACTGGCGTATGGCGGGCAGTTAGAATGTTAATCATCTTTATTGTTATTTCTACCTATGTTCCTTGAAAAATGATCTCTCTTAGCATTCTTAATATCCGATTCCATTTTTCAGGGACATAGCTCTTATATGAAATAAAACACGCTTGAGGACAATTTTGTGTTTTGGCTGAGATGGTTAAAATAAGAATTTCAGGACCACTGTGTGGTTGGTAAGCCTTTAAAAAGAGGAGTAAGTTGAATTGGTGACTTACTGAAGTAGTATGTTTTAGTATGGACAAATTTAGTGAATGGTCAGTTTGCCTTAATTTAGGTTAAAATACTATGAATTTCAAAATGTCACAAGCTTCTGAGACTCTGAGAATAATACTGAAATGTCATTTTCATGAGGGAGATTTCTATAAGGCTGTTTTTACATACATACAAAATAAATGGCTGCCATCAAATTTTTACTTCTACCTGCTGCCATTGCAATGATCTTAATTAAAGACAACTATTCATTGCCTAGCAAGAGGTAAGGCATGGCATGCTTGTGGAAATAAGACAGTTAATTCATTTTGTAGTGTTAATAACTGCTACTAGACTTTTTCCTGGTTGTACTTCATGATGGGAAAGGGGAAGAGTTAGAAAGAATGCTGAGAAGCTAAAGAGGAGTTTGGGAAGCCGAGAACGAACCTCATGAGCTTAATAAGACCGGGTAATTATCTCTTTAAGAGGGCAGGAGTGCCAAAGAGGATGGAAGCTTCCTGTGATGTTACTCACTTAAAAGGCGTTCGCTGAGGACTTACTGAAGGCCAGGGAGTATGCCAAATGCTGGAGTTATAGTAAAGTATTGGTAAAGTTCCTGCCATCAAGGAACTGACAGTTTATTGGAGACAGGTGGGATAGGCACATAACCAAATGACTGCATTAGATAGAGCAGTGCCAAGTGTAGTGGGGTACAAATAAAAGAATGGTTGATTTTTCAGGTGATCACAGTGGTGTGTAGCAGCCAGTTGCATCAGTAGTGAGAGCTGACTAATGTATATCTCTTCCCAACTCTGTGTTTAGTGATCTCATGTTGGTAGTTTAAAATCAGCCAGGGTGGGAGTATTTACACTTCACAAACCGGCAAACACTACAGTCTAGGGCTTTTCCTCTGCAGAGAGCCAGTTATTAAACATTTAGTAACATACTACTGCCCGGGGGTGGGGAGGGAGGATTTAAGAAGAGGTATTATAAGAGAAGAG